CACCCAAAGGGTTTACTAGAGTCAATAATACAGTTCACATTGCTATGTGGTTAACACCCAAAGAGTACTAAGGTATGATCATGTTTTGCTCGTGAGAGAAGTTTAGTCAACGGGTCTGTCACATTCAGAGCCAATGTATTTTGCAAATATTCTATGTCTATAATGCTCTGCACGGAGCTACTCTAGCTAATTGCTCCCACTTTCAACATGTATCCAGATTGAGACTTAGAGGCATCTGAATTAGTGTAAAAGCTTGCATCGATGTAACTCTTTACGATGAACTCTTTTATCACCTCCATAATCGAGAAACATCTCCTTAGTCCTCACTAAGGATATTCTTGACCGTTGTCCAGTGATCTACTCCTAGATCAAAATTGTACTCCCTTGTCAAACTCAGAGCAAGTTATACAATAGGTCTGGTACACAACATAGCATACTTTATAGAACCTATGACTGAGGCATAGGGAATGACTTTCATTCTCTTTTTATTTTCTGCCGTTGTCGGGATTTGAGTCTTATTCAATTTCACATCTTTGCAACACAGGCAAGAACTCTTTCTTTGACTGTTCCATTTTGAACTACTTCAAAATCTTGTCAAGGTATGTACTCATTGAAAATCTTATCAAACGTCTTGATCTATCTCAATAGATCTTGATGCTTAATATGTAAGTAGCTTTACTGAGGTCTTTGTTTTGAAGAACTCCTTTCAAACACTCCTTTATGCTTTCCGGAAAATTCTACATTATTTCCGATCAACAATATGTCATTCACATATACTTATCAGAAAGGTTGTAGTGCTCTCACTCACTTTCCTGTAAATACAGGCTTCACCGCAAGTCTGTATAAAATTATATGCTTTGATCAATTCATCAAAGCGTATATTCCAACTCCGAGATGCTTGCACCAGTCCATAGATGGATCGCTGGAGCTTGTACATTTTGTTAGCACTTTTAGGTTTGACAAAACTTTTTGTTTGCATCATATACAACTCTTCTTTAATAAATCCATTAAAGAATGCAATTTTGACATCCATTTGCCATATTTCATAAAATGTGGCAATTGCTAACATGATTCAGACAGACTTAAGCATCGATACAAGTGAGAAAATCTCATCGTATTCAACATCTTGAACTTGTCGAAAAACTTTTTGCGACAAGTCGCGCTTTGTAGACAGTAACATTACCATCAACGTCAGTATTCTTCTTGAAGATCCATTTATTCTCGATGGCTTGCCGATCATCGGGCAAGTCAACCAAAGTCCACACTTTGTTCTCATACATGGATCCCATCTTAGATTTCATGGCCTCAAGCCATTTCGCGGAATCTGGGCTCATCGCTTCCTCATAGTTCGTAGGTTCATCATGGTCAAGTAATATGACCTCCAAAACAGGATTACCATACCGCTCTGGTGCGGACCATACTCTGGTTGACCTACGAGATTCGGTAGTAAGTTGATCTGAAGTTTCATAATCATCATCATTAGCTTCCTCACTAATTGGTGTAGAAATCATTAGAACTGATTTCTGTGATAAACTACTTTCCAATTTGGGAGAAGGTACAATTACCTTATCAAGCTCTACTTTCCTCCCACTCACTTCTTTCGAGAGAAACTCCTACTCTAGAAAGGATCAATCTTAGCAACGAATAACTTGACTTCGGATCTGTGATAGAAGATGTACCCAATAGTTTTCTTTGGGTATTCTATGAAGACGCACTTCTCCGATTTGGGTTCGAGCTTATCAGGTTGAAACTTTTTCACATAAGCATCGCAACCCCAAACTTTAAGAAACGACAACTTTGGTTTCTTGCCAAACCACAGTTCATAAGGCGTCGTCTCAACGGATTTTGATGGTGCCCTATTTAAAGTGAATGCAGCTGTCTCTAATGCATAACCCCAAAACGATAGTGATAAATCGGTAAGATACATCATAGATCGCAGGGAGGCGCGCCCTACCCCTGGGCGCGCCCCCATCCTCGTGGTCCCCTCGTGGCTCCCCTAACCGACCTCTTTTGCCTATATATGTCCATATACCCTAAAAACATCGAGGAGCACAATAGATCGGGAGTTCCACCTCCGCAAGCCTCTGTAGCCACCAAAAACCTCTCGGGAGCCCGTCCCGGCACCCTGCCAGAGGGGGAATCCATCATCGGTGGCCATCTTCATCATCCCGGTGCTCTCCATGACGAGGAGGGAGTAGTTCACCCTCGGGGCTGAGGGTATGTACCAGTAGCTATGTGTTAAATCTCTCTATCTCTCGTGTTCTTGAGGTGGTACGATCTTTATGTATCGCGAACTTTTGCTATTATAGTTGGATCTTATGATGTTTCTCCCCCTCTACTCTCTTATGATGAATTGAGTTTTCCCCTTGAAGTTGACTTGTCGGGTTGAGTCTTTAAGGATTTGAGAACACTTGATGTATGTCTTGCTGTGCTTATTTGTGGTGACAATGGTATATTCACGTGATCTACTTGATGTATGTTTTGGTGATCAACTTGTGGGTTCAATAAACTTATGCATAGGGGTTGGCACACGTTTTTGTCTTGACTCTCCGGTAGAAACTTTGTGGCACTCTTTGAAGTACTTTGTGTTGGTTGAATAGATGAATCAGAGATTGTGTGATGCATATCGTATAATCATACCCACGGATACTTGAGGTGACATTGGACTATCTAGGTGACATCAGGATTTTGGTTGATTTGTGTCTTAAGGTGTTATTCTAGTATGAACTCTATGATAGATTGAACGGAAAGAATAGCTTTGTGTTATTTTACTACGGACTCTTGAACAGATCGATCAGAAAGGATAACTTTGAAGTGGTTTCGTACCCTACCATAATCTCTTTGTTTGTTCTCTGCTATTAGTGACTTTGGAGTGACTCTTTGTTGCATGTTGAGGGATAATTATATGATCCAGTTATGTTATTATTGTCGAGAGAATTTGCACTAGTGAAAGTATGAACCCTAGGCCTTGTTTCGAAGCATTGCAATACCTTTTGTGCTCATTTTTATTATTAGTTACCTTGCTGTTTTTATATTTTTAGATTACAAAAACCTATATCTATCATCCATATTGCACTTGTATCACCATCTCTTCGTCGAACTAGTGCAGCTATACAATTACCATTGTATTGGGTGTGTTGGGGACACAAGAGACTCTTAATTATTTGGTTGCAGGGTTGTTTGAGAGAGACCATCTTCATCCTACGCCTCCCACGGATTGATAAACTTTAGGTCATCCACTTGAGGGAAATTTGCTACTGTCCTACAAACCTCTGCACTTGGAGGCCCAACAACGTCTATAAGAAGAAGGTTGTGTAGTAGACATCACTGGGCCACCCCATATCCGCCCCATATTTGGGCTGGATATTGAGGTGCCGGTCAGTCCGGACGTTTGAGATCCATTTGAAACGTCCATCTGAGTTGAAAAAACATGACTAGACAGCCCGCCTAGATGTATGAGAATGATTTGAGAGGTCCGTTTGTAGACGCTCTAAGCAGCCTTGTGAGATATCTTTCCCTGAGTTGTTCAATACATGCCCAGCGGTCTGCTCCCTCCTTGGTGCCGCAGTCGAGTTCAAGCCAGCTACTCAGCGTTTCGGTGGATTGAATACTAAGAACACTAGGCCCATAAGGGTTCGAATTTTCTGTTTTTTCCGAAATTTTTTTACCACCCCTGAGAAAATGACGCGTGTTGCTGGGGCTTTCCTTGCCGTTCCTACTTCTTAGCTACCTAGCATCTTGCAGGGATTTTTTACCACGTCTTTCTTTCTATTGAATGCCCATGAAGGGTCACGTCAGTTTCCTTTCATGTCATGTGAGTTTCTTTTCACGTGTTTTTATTGTACGTGTCCATAGCTGGTTCCTTCATTTGCCGCGTTACAATTTTTACATCAGTTTCAGTTTTTTTTACTATGGAAGATGGGTCCGGTCGGGACATGTACTTCTCTCTAGAAAACTCCAGTTCAATCTCATGTCCCCTCCACTGCTGTTGCAGATCTATAAATTGTCCTATGCTGTTTGAGCGACACGTTATCTCTGTGTGTGCAGTACATCCTACATCGACCTTCCTTTGTTTTCTCTTTAATATTTGTTTGGTTGCGCGATGCATGCATATGTCTTGGTCCAGTTCACGTGAGATTTTTTGGTGGTCTTCTAGATTTCCCGCGATTGCTGCATGGGCCATGCATGTCGCCACGTTTGCCAGTTTACTGATGGACACGTTGCCTTCTAGGGTTTTTTGGTGGGCTTCATCTTTGTTTTTTCTTTGCTTTTGGCCGCCTATAAGTAATTGGCCTGGTGTTGGTTCACCGTCTCTGCAAGAAATCATCCAACCCTCTATGCCAACCCAACACTATGCCGCCGCTGCCCCCTCTCCTCTATCTCTATACGGGCACGCAGCCTCATCCTCCCCCAACCTGGTCGCCGGCAGCCCCTGCGTCAGGCCCTACGTTTCCCCCAGCGAGGCCGAGATGGTAGCGCGGCGCGCAGCCCCATCCTCCCCAGCCTGGTCGCCGACCAGCCCCTAGCGCTAGGCCCTCCGTTTATCGGTGGCGGTGTTGGCGTTGAAGGATGGGGCGACGATGCCATCAGACTCTTGGAAAAGCAACACGGGCAGAGGAAGAGCACGCGCCCCGGCGTCGGAGGAGGCTTGGCAGGAGATGGTTGTTCTGCTGCAGGTACGTGAACGGGGTGGCTAGGTTGACAAGCTGGCCTCCTCCGGCATCCTCTCTTCGCCCCGCTTCGGCTCCAGCCCCTCGCTTGCCGCCTCCTGCGAGGCCGATGTTGAGCTCGCTTGCGAGGTGTTCTATCAATTAACCAAACTAAGCCAAGTCTGAGTACGGACGATGGTCATGCACTTTCCTTCTTCAAGTACTCCTCCTCCTCGGCGTTCTCCTCCGCAGGCGTGTTTCGCCCCAGCCAGGAGTTCGTCGAGCGCGGCCTCCCCCAACGGGGAGTTCTACATCTGACAGTGGCGCGTCGGCGTGCCGCACGGCGCTAGGATGTACTTGTGGACGGACGGGTGGATGTACGAGGGGGAGTGGTGGCACGGGCCGGGGCAAGTTCTCCTGGCCGTCGGGCCGGGAGTCGCCTTAGAGGGCGAGTTCAAGGACGGCTTCATGGATGGCGACGACACCTACACCGCCGCCGCCGGGGACAGGTACAAGGGCTCCTGGTCCATGAACCTTAAGCACAGCAACGGCAGGAAGAGCTACGTCAACGGCGACCAGTAAGACAGTGAGTGGCACCCCGGGCTGCAAGACGGCGCCGGCCACTACATCTTGTGCTCAGCCTTGCAGGCTGCAACACAGAGAATTCTCTTGTGTATTCAGTTCGATTAGGTTCAGTTAAGTTGAGTTGAGTGGAGGCATGCAGCTGTTGTCGGCAGGCCTTGTTCTTCTGGTTCTCGTCCCACGCCTTCACCGTCGACAGCTTCCGATTCATCTCCACCTTCACAAGCACCACGTCTGTACGCGAGTTCATTCATTTCGTGTGTTTTTGCATTCATACCAAACAAATTAAAACTGAAAACCTCCAAACCAAATTCATCGAAACTTGAAGCAGAGGATGGACTACATGATGTACGTAGCTCTGTCAGTTTCTGAACCCGGAGCTGTTGTTGGCGTTGGGGCTCCATCAGCAGCAGCAAGACGGATCGATCGATTAGAGTTAGCAACTTAGCATAGCACCAAACTGATGCCGGAGTGATATATCCATGTTTGAACGTTTGTAAACACTGCCACTACCGTTCCAGAGTCACCCTGGTGGACGACGCGCGTAGGAGCGTGAGGACGGCGGGGAGAGCGGGGCGCTTCTGCCGCCGTCGTCCCCAGCGCCGCACATCGCCAAGTGGGTGTCCCCGCGGCAGGCCAAGCAGCAGGAGGAGACCATCGTAATTGACGCAAGCACTAGGAGCTCCTGCTCATCTTGCAGCTCGGGATTAGGTGGGTTGCTTCGGTCATCTCCCTTCGTCAGCGAGTCTGAATTACGATGTGTTCAAGGAATATGGTCAAGACTAAAATATTTGCATTTGCTTTCAGTACCTTTGCTCCACGCAGAGTTATAGGAATATAGTAAAGACTAAAATATGTGTTCATCTGGAAGCCTATATAGATGCTAAACAATATTTTAGTGTGTCATCACCTGCACAGACTTTTCTCCCGTAATAGTGTGCTTCCAGTTTGATGGTTCATGGACGGTCAGATGGTTGCAGCGTACCACCTGCTTCGCTGGATCGACTTGAATAGATTGACTGTTGATGATATGTCTTTTAGGACCAACAACAGTGGTTTGATTCAGATGTAAATCTCACTATCGCTACATCAGGGTCAATATCTTAGGTCTAAGAAGAGAAGCAAAGCTTCGTACTTCCATTACCCATTATCACTATATAAAGTAGATCACTTATGCATGTATCAATTAGATTATCTTTTTTTTTTGGTATGAACTACTTTACCACGAATTGAGTCTTGGAACAACTTACGAAATATTAAAAAAAAACTAAATAGCTTATCAATTCTTTTGGCGCGGCGTGCCGCCGCGGACTATTCGCTAGTTTTAGTGATTCCTGCAATGTTCAGAAGCTCACCAATAGAACGAACATGCATGTACTACTATGTTATGGGCTTCTGTCCTTTGACTGATCAGCAGTGTTTCTATTCCAGCAACTGCACCAAAATGCTCAACTTTTTGCTCTTCCGGCCAACTTTTGCACTAGCTAGCTCAACTCTTTTGCTCTTCTGGCCAACTTTTGTGTCGATCTGTCGTATTCTCTCTCCTGGCATGTACCCCTGGGGTTTTGGCACCGGGCTAGGCTCAACGAACGCCATCGCCCATCAACATGCACGCCAAAACGACATACGTATAGTACAAGCATATACTCTCTCTGTTCCTAAATATAGTTTTTTTTAGATTTCAATACAAACCAAATACGGATATATATAGAATATTTTACAGTGTAGATTCACTCAATTTGTTTCGTATGTAGTTCGTATTGGAATCTCTAAAAAGACTTACATTTATGAACGAAGGGAGTAGTATACCTTGTCACGTTATGATATCAACGTACACATTGTCACTCGTCGGGTTTGGACGAAGATCTTCAGTTGGCTTGGGCTACATATCAACGTTTCATATTGGCGGCTTGCGACCTCGGTGAAGGAGTGGTGGATCGATAGGGCTAACATCAGGGGCGAGGATAGGAAAGCCATCTCCTCCCTCATGTTGCCAGTGTCTTGGAAATTTGGAATGAGTGTAACGCCAGGGTCTTCCGCAACCTCAGCGCCCCGACGACATTGATTGTGACTAAGATCAAAGAGGATGCCTGTCTTTGGGCTTCGGCAGGGGCTACGCACTTGAGTATTGTAATGCCGCAAGAGTATAGTAGTAGTAGTTGTTGTTTTCTCTAAACCGCTATGCGGGGCTATGTTAAATCTGCTTCTGAATCAATGAAAATAACAAGTCTTTTGCCTTGTTTCAAAAATATAAATTAACCATGCGTGATTTTGCGATCTAAATACCCATCAGCAAATGCACATGATAAAAAGTTTGACTTTAGACAAATATTATGCATGTAGTAAAAAAGGAAGAGAGTATAAAGAAATACTATTATTTTATCAACAGATGGCTCACCTGGCCCTCTCACAAAGCTTTTTAAAGCATGTGCTACATATATCTCTTAATAGTATATAACTCTATCGCTTCTCTTCTCTCTTTCTTCTCATCTATCTTTTTCAACTCAGTAAAAATTTAACACTTAAACCCTTATAAACCGCTTAAATAACCTTGTTGTACTTGTTGTAAAAAGAGCTAACTAAAAAACTCAATCAAAATAAATGGTGAGTGGTGAAGCAAGTTTCATAGTTTGCAGAGTACCCAATTAGCGCACTTGTTTATCTAAATAAATCACTCTTGTTGACACATTATTCTACATTAACGCATCGCATGCATGTGTATCGCATTGTCAAAAAATAAACATGGTTAGTTACCTGCATTGGTTGTTGGATAATCAGGCAATTTCATGATTAGTTCAAGAATGTAAATTATGATTAAAGCAACAATTAGCATGTATATGTCAAACATACTAGATGCACTAAAAAACATGATCAACAACATTGCACATGTAACAACAACCATACCTAGAGACTGGATCATACTACAACACACATACTGATCCTTTGTAGATGAAGTAGTGGTGGCAGCCGCGGAGGCAATGTTGTTGATGATGGTGTTAGTGAAGACCGGTCGAACCAGACAATGGTGGAGGCGACGTCACTTGACTTGGAAGAAGGAAGATGCCCCATGGTGATGAACGTGAGCAGTCGCATGTAGTGCTTTCCAAAAACC